TATCATCACTATCACCACCATCATCACTTTCTCCACCATCATCACTACAACCACCATCATCACTATCACCACCATCATCACTATCACCACTACCATCACTATCACCACCATCATCACTATCACCACCATCATCACTATCACCACCATCACCACTATCACCACTACCATCACTATCACCACCATCATCACTATCACCACCATCATCACTATCACCACCATCATCACTATCACCACCATCACCACTACCATCACTATCACCACCATCATCACTATCACCACCATCATCACTATCACCACCATCACCACTATCATCACTATCACCACCATCATCACATCACCACCATCATCACCACTATCACCATCATCATCATATCACCACCATCATCACTATCATCACCATCACCACTATCACCACTATCATCACCTATCATTCACTATCACCACCATCATCACTATCACCACCATCATCACTACCATCACTATCACCACCATCATCACTATCATCACCTATCATCCACCTATCATCACTATCACCACCATCATCACTATCACCACCATCATCACTATCACCACCATCACCACTACTGTAACTATCACCACCATCGTCACTATCATCATCATCACCACTATCATCACTATCACCACCATCACCACTACCATCACTATCACCACCATCATCACTATCACCACCATCATCACTATCACTACCATCATCACTATCATCACTATCACCACCATCATCACTTTCACCACCATCATCACTAAAACCACAATCATCACTATCACCACCATCATCACTATCACCACCATCACCACTACCATCACTATCACCACCATCATCACTATCACCACCATCATCACTATCACCACCATCACTATCACCACCATCATCACTATCACCACCATCATCACTATCACCACCATCATCACTATCACCACCATCACCACTACCATCACTAGCACCACCATCATCACTATCACCACCATCATCACTATCACCACCATCACCACTACCATCACTATCACCACCATCATCACCATCACCACCATCATCACCACTATCACCATCATCATCACTATCACCACCATCATCACTATCACCACCATCATCACTATCACCACCATCATCACTATCATCACTATCACCACCATCATCACTATCACCACCATCATCACTACCATCACTATCACCACCATCATCACTATCATCACCATCATCACTATCATCACTATCACCACCATCATCACTATCACCACCATCATCACTATCACCACCATCATCACTACCATCACTATCACCACCATCATCACTATCATCACTATCACCACCATCATCACTATCACCACCATCACCACTACCATCACTATGACCACCATCATCACTATCATCACCATCACCACTATCATCACTATCACCACCATCATCACTATCACCACCATCATCACTATCACCACCATCACCACTACCATCACTATCACCACCATCATCACTATCATCACCATCACCACTATCATCACTATCACCACCATCACCACTACCATCACCATCACCACCATCATCACTATCACCACCATCATCACTATCATCACTATCACCACCATCATCACTTTCACCACCATCATCACTATCACCACCATCATCACTATCACCACCATCATCACTATCACCACCATCATCACTAGCACCACCATCATCACTATCACCACCATCATCACTATCACCACCATCATCACTATTACCACCATCACACTACCATCACTATCACCACCATCATCACCATCACCACCATCATCACCACTATCACCATCATCATCACTATCACCACCATCATCACTATCACCACCATCATCACTATCACCACCATCATCACTATCATCACTATCACCACCATCATCACCACTATCACCATCATCATCACTATCACCACCATCATCACTATCACCACCATCATCACTATCACCACCATCACCACCATCATCACTATCACCACCATCATCACTATCACCACCATCACCACTATCACCACCATCATTACTGTCATCACTATCACCACCATCATCACTATCACCACTATCACCACCATCATCACTATCACCACTATCACCACCATCATCACTATCACCACTATCATCACTATCACCACCATCATCACTATCACCACCATCATCACTATCACCACCATCATCACTATCATCACTATCACCACCATCATCACTATCACCACCATCATCACTATCATCACTATCACCACCATCATCACTATCACCACTATCATCACTATCACCACCATCATCATCACTCCACTATCACCACCATCATCACTATCACCACCATCATCACTCCACTATCACCACCATCATCATCACTCCACTATCACCACCATCATCATCACTCCACTATCACCACCATCATCATCACTATCACCACTATCACCACCATCATCACTATCACCACCATCATCACTATCACCACTATCATCACTATCACCACCATCATCACTATCACCACCATCACCACTATCACCACCATCATCACTATCACCACCATCATCACTATCACCACCATCACCACTACCATCACGATCACCACCATCATCACTATCACCACCATCATCACTATCTCCACCATCATTACTATCATCACTATTACAACCATCACCACTACCATCACTATCACCACCATCATCACTATCATCACTATCACCACCATAATCACTATCACCACCATCACCACTACCATCACAATCACCACCATCATCACTATCATCACCATCACCACTATCATCACTATCACCACCATCATCACTATCACCACCATCATCACTATCACCACCATCACCACTACCATCACGATCACCACCATCATCACTATCACCACCATCATCACTATCACCACCATCATCACTATCACCACCATCATCACTATCACCACCATCACCACTACCATCACTATCACCACCATCATCACTATCATCACCATCACCACTATCATCACTATCACCACCATCACCACTACCATCACTATCACCACCATCATCACTATCACCACCATCATCACTATCATCACTATCACCACCATCATCACTATCACCACCATCATCATCGCTCCACTATCACCACCATCATCACTATCATCACTATCACCACCATCATCACTATCACCACCATCATCACTATCATCACTATCACCACCATCATCGCTATCACCACTATCACCACCATCACCACCATCATCACTATCATCACTATCACCACCATCATCACTATCACCACTATCACCACCATCATCACTATCACCACTATCACCACCATCATCACTATCACCACCATCATCACTATCATCACTATCACCACCATCATCACTATCACCACCATCATCACTATCATCACTATCACCACCATCATCACTATCACCACTATCATCACTATCACCACCATCATCACTATCACCACCATCACCACCATCATCACTATCATCACTATCACCACCATCACCACTACCATCACTATCACCACCATCATCACTATCACCACCATCATCACTATCACCACCATCATCACTATCACCACCATCACCACTACCATCACTATCACCACCATCATCACTATCATCACTATCACCACCATAATCACTATCACCACCATCACCACTACCATCACAATCACCACCATCATCACTATCATCACCATCACCACTATCATCACTATCACCACCATCATCACTATCACCACCATCATCACTATCACCACCATCACCACTACCATCACGATCACCACCATCATCACTATCACCACCATCATCACTATCACCACCATCATCACTATCACCACCATCATCACTATCACCATCATCACCACTACCATCACTATCACCACCATCATCACTATCATCACCATCACCACTATCATCACTATCACCACCATCACCACTACCATCACTATCACCACCATCATCACTATCACCACCATCATCACTATCACCACCATCATCACTATCATCACTATCACCACCATCATCACTTTCACCACCATCATCACTAAAACCACCATCATCACTATCACCACCATCATCACTATCACCACTACCATCACTATCACCACCATCATCACTATCACCACCATCATCACTATCACCACCATCATCACTATCACCCACCACCATCACCACTACCACCACTATCACCATCATCATCACTATCACCACCATAATCACTATCACCACCATCATCACTATCACCACCATCATCACTATCATCACTATCACCACCATCATCACTATCACCACCATCATCACTATCACCACCATCATCACTATCACCACTATCACCACCATCACCACCATCATCACTATCATCACTATCACCACCATCATCACTATCACCACTATCATCACTATCACCACCATCATCACTATCACCACCATCACCACTATCACCACCATCATCACTATCATCACTATCACCACCATCATCACTATCACCACTATCACCACCATCATCACTATCACCACTATCACCACCATCACCACTATCACCACCATCATCACTATCATCACTATCACCACCATCATCACTATCACCACCATCATCACTATCACCACCATCATCACTATCATCACTATCACCACCATCATCACTATCACCACCATCATCACTATCATCACTATCACCACCATCACCACTATCACCACCATCATCACTATCACCACTATCACCACCATCACCACCATCATCACTATCACCACCATCATCACTATCATCACTATCACCACCATCATCACTATCACCACTATCACCACCATCATCACTATCACCACTATCACCACCATCATCACTATCACCACTATCACCACCATCACCACTATCACCACCATCATCACCAGCATGACCCTCGCTGTCCCTACAACCAAGTCTGGTACCTGTACCCCCCCACCTGGGACCTGTACCCCCCCCCACCTGGTACCTGTACCCCCCCCCCCACCTGGTACCTGTACCCCCCAGATGGACCACGACCCCCGCAGCCCGTCCTATATCGCCACCCAGGGGCCCCTCCCCCACACGGTCGCCGACTTCTGGCAGGTGATGTCGTGTGGTGATGGTGATGGTGATGATGGTGATGGTGGTGATGGTGATGGTGGTGATGTCGTGTGGTGATGGTGATGGTGATGTCGTGTGGTGATGTTGGTGATGGTGGTGATGGTGGTGGTGGTGATGGTGATGGTGGTGATGGTGATGGTGGTGATGGTGGTGATGGTGGTCATGGTGGTGATGTCGTGTGGTGATGTTGGTGATGGTGGTGATGTCGTGTGGTGATGTTGGTGATGGTGGTGATGTCGTGTGGTGATGGTGGTGATGGTGATGGTGGTGATGGTGGTGATGTCGTGTGGTGATGTTGGTGATGGTGGTGATGTCGTGTGGTGATGGTGGTGATGGTGGTGATGTCGTGTGGTGATGTTGGTGATGGTGGTGATGTCGTGTGGTGATGTTGGTGATGGTGGTGATGTCGTGTGTTGATGGTGGTGATGGTGATGGTGGTGATGGTGGTGATGTCGTGTGGTGATGTTGGTGATGGTGGTGATGTCGTGTGGTGATGGTGGTGATGGTGATGGTGGTGATGGTGGTGATGTCGTGTGGTGATGTTGGTGATGGTGGTGATGTCGTGTGGTGATGTTGGTGATGGTGGTGAGGTCGTGTGGTGATGGTGGTGATGGTGATGGTGGTGATGGTGGTGAGGTCGTGTGGTGATGTTGGTGATGGTGGTGATGTCGTGTGGTGATGGTGGTGATGGTGATGGTGGTGATGGTGGTGCTGTCGTGTGGTGATGTTGGTGATGGTGGTGATGTCGTGTGGTGATGGTGGTGATGGTGATGGTGGTGATGTCGTGTGGTGATGGTGGTGATGGTGGTGATGGTGATGGTGGTGATGGTGATGGTGGTGATGGTGGTGATGTCGTGTGGTGATGTCGTGTGGTGATGGTGATGGTGGTGATGTCGTGTGATGGTGGTGATGGTGGTGATGGTGGTGATGTTGGTGATGGTGGTGATGTCGTGTGGTGATGGTGGTGATGGTGGTGATGGTGGTGATGTCGTGTGGTGATGTTGGTGATGGTGGTGATGTCGTGTGGTGATGGTGGTGATGGTGATGGTGGTGATGGTGGTGATGTCGTGTGGTGATGTTGGTGATGGTGGTGATGTCGTGTGGTGATGGTGGTGATGGTGATGGTGGTGATGTCGTGTGGTGATGGTGATGGTGGTGATGGTGGTGATGGTGGTGATGGTGATGGTGGTGATGGTGGTGATGTCGTGTGGTGATGTCGTGTGGTGATGGTGATGGTGGTGATGTCGTGTGGTGATGGTGATGGTGGTGATGGTGATGGTGGTGATGGTGATGGTGGTGATGGTGGTGATTGTCGTGTGGTGATGGTGGTGATGGTGATGGTGGTGATGGTGGTGATGTCGTGTGGTGATGGTGGTGATGGTGATGGTGGTGATGGTGGTGATGGTGATGGTGGTGATGGTGGTGATGTCGTGTGGTGATGTCGTGTGGTGATGGTGATGGTGGTGATGTCGTGTGGTGATGGTGATGGTGGTGATGTTGGTGATGGTGGTGATGTCGTGTGGTGATGGTGATGGTGGTGATGTTGGTGATGGTGGTGATGTCGTGTGGTGATGGTGATGGTGGTGATGGTGGTGATGTCGTGTGGTGGTGATGGTGGTGATGTCGTGTGGTGATGGTGGTGATGGTGGTGATGTCGTGTGGTGATGGTGATGGTGGTGATGGTGATGGTGGTGATGGTGGTGATGGTGGTGATGTCGCGTGGTGATAGTGATGGTGGTGATGTCGTGTGGTGATGGTGGTGATGGTGGTGATGGTGGTGATGTCGTGTGGTGATGGTGATGGTGGTGATGTTGGTGATGGTGGTGATGTCGTGTGGTGATGGTGGTGATGGTGATGGTGGTGATGGTGGTGATGGTGATGGTGGTGATGGTGGTGATGTCGTGTGGTGATGGTGGTGATGGTGGTGATGTCGTGTGGTGATGGTGATGGTGGTGATGGTGATGGTGGTGATGGTGGTGATGGTGGTGATGTCGCGTGGTGATAGTGATGGTGGTGGTGGTGATGGTGGTGATGGTGGTGATGTCGTGTGGTGATGGTGATGTCGTGTGGTGATGGTGATGTCGTGTGGTGATGGTGGTGATGTCGTGTGGTGATGGTGGTGATGGTGGTGATGGTGATGATGGTGATGTCGTGTGGTGATGGTGATGGTGGTGATGTTGGTGATGGTGGTGATGTCGTGTGGTGGTGATGTCGTGTGGTGATGTCGTGTGGTGATGTCGTGTGGTGATGTCGTGTGGTGATGGTGGTGATGTCGTGTGGTGATGTTGGTGATGTCGTGTGGTGATGGTGATGTTGGTGGTGGTGATGGTGGTGATGGTGGTGATGTCGTGTGGTGATGGTGATGATGGTGGTGATGGTGGTGATGTTGGTGATGGTGGTGATGTCGTGTGGTGATGGTGGTGATGGTTGGTGATGGTGATGTTGGTGATGGTGGTGATGTCGTGTGGTGGTGATGTCGTGTGGTGATGTCGTGTGGTGATGTCGTGTGGTGATGTCGTGTGGTGATGGTGGTGATGTCGTGTGGTGATGTTGGTGATGTCGTGTGGTGATGGTGATGTTGGTGGTGATGTTGGTGGTGATGTTGGTGATGTCGTGTGGTGATGGTGGTGATGATGATGTTGGTGATGTCGTGTGGTGATGGTGGTGATGATGATGTTGGTGATGTCGTGTGGTGATGGTGGTGATGTCGTGTGGTGATGGTGGTGATGACGTGTGGTGATGGTGGTGATGACGTGTGGTGATGGTGGTGATGATGGTGATGTCGTGTGGTGATGGTGATGTTGGTGGTGATGATGTTGGTGATGTCGTGTGGTGATGATGCTGTGGTGGTGATGGTGGTGATGTCGTGTGGTGATGGTGGTGATGGTGATGTTGGTGGTGATGATGATGTTGGTGGTGATGATGGTGATGGTGATGATGTTGATGATGATGATGTTGGTTGTGATGGTGCAAATGATGTGGGAGCAAGGCTGTGTGGTGCTCGTGACGGTGATGGTAATGTTTGTGATGATGATGTTGGTGATCATGTTGATGATTGTGGTGATGTTGGTGATGGTGGTGATGTTGGTGATGATTTTGATGACGATGGCGGTGCTGATGTTGGTGATGATGATGGTGTTAATGATGATGGTGGTGATGGTGCAGATGGTGTGGGAGCATGACTGCGTGGTGCTGGTGATGGTAATGTTTGTGATGATGTTGGTGGTAATAATGTTGACGATGTTGATGGTGGTGATCATGTTGATGATGGTGGTGATGTTGGTGATGATGATGGTGTTAATGATGATGGTGATGGTGCAGATGGTGTGGGAGCAAGGCTGCGTGGTGGTGATGTTGGTGATGATGTTGGTGATGGTGGTGGTGATGTTGGTTGTGATCATGTTGATGATGTTGATGATGTTGGTGATGATGGTGTTAATGACGATGGTACAGATGGTGTGGGAGCAAGGCTGCGTGGTGGTGATGTTAGTGATGATGTTGGTGATGGTGGTGGTGATGTTGGTGGTGATCATGTTGATGATGGTGGTGATGTTGGTGATGATGATGGTGTTAATGACGATGGTGGTGGTGATGGTACAGATGGTGTGGGAGCAAGGCTGCGTGGTGCTGGTGATGGTGATGATGTTGGTGATGGTGGTGGTGATGTTGGTGGTGATCATGTTGATGATGGTGGTGATGATGGTGTTAATGACGATGGTGGTGGTGATGGTGCAGATGGTGTGGGAGCAAGGCTGCGTGGTGCTCGTGATGGTAATGTTTGTGATGATGTTGGTGATGGTGGTGGTGATGTTGATGTTGTTGGTGATGATGGTGTTAATGACGATGGTACAGATGGTGTGGGAGCAAGGCTGCGTGGTGCTCGTGATGGTAATGTTTGTGATGATGTTGGTGATGGTGATGGTGGTGGTGATGTTGATGTTGATGATGTTGATGATGTTGGTGTTAATGACGATGGTGGTGGTGATGGTACAGATGGTGTGGGAGCAGGGCTGCGTGGTGCTGGTGATGCTCACACCGCTGAGTGAGAACGGCGTGAGGCAGTGCCAGCGTTATTGGCCCGACGAGGGCTCCAACCTCTACCACATCTACGAGGTTCCCACAAACCCACCCCACCCCACCTTCGCCCCCACACAGCCCTCGGCGAGCGCCTGCCGAGGCCGCCTTTGTCTCCCCAGTGGCGAGTCCAGGTATCCGTTTCGGGCTGAGTCGACCTAGGGGAGGCCCAGTGATGTTGGAGGTGAGCGGGGATCGAACTCCGGTGTCCGCGTTCGTAGAGCGAGCGTAGCAGTGCGCACACAGAGAGCCACCATAACACAACAACAACAACTACAACACGACCACAGCAGCAACAACTACAACCACAGTGAGATCCACAACAACAACTACAACCACAGTGAGATCCACAACACAACACAACAACTACAACCACAGTGAGATCCACAACACAACAACTACAACCACAGTGAGATCCACAACACAACAACAACTACAACCACAGTGAGATCCACAACACAACAACAACTACAACACGACCACAGTGAGATCCACAACAACAACATTAACACGACTACAGCAGCAACAACTACAACCACAGTGAGATCCACAACAACAACTACAACCACAGTGAGATCCACAACAACAACACGACCACAGTGAGATCCACAACAACAACAATAACACGACTACAGCAGCAACAACTACAACCACAGTGAGATCCACAACTCAACAACAACACAACAACAACAACAACTACGACCACAGTGAGATCCACAACACAACAACAACACGACCACAGTGAGATCCACAACAACAACTACAACACGACCACAGCAGCAACAACAACAACCACAGTGAGATCCACAACACAACAACAACAACTACAACCACAGTGAGATCCACAACACAACAACAACTACAACCACAGTGAGATCCACAACACAACAACAACAACTACAACCACAGTGAGATCCACAACAACAACACGACCACAGTGAGATCCACAACAACAACAATAACACGACTACAGCAGCAACAACTACAACCACAGTGAGATCCACAACTCAACAACAACACAACAACAACTACGACCACAGTGAGATCCACAACACAACAACAACACGACCACAGTGAGATCCACAACACAACAACAACACGACCACAGTGAGATCCACAACAACAACTACAACACGACCACAGCAGCAACAACTACAACCACAGTGAGATCCACAACACAACAACAACAACTACAACCACAGTGAGATCCACAACACAACAACAACTACAACAACAGTGAGATCCACAACACAACAACAACAACTACAACCACAGTGAGATCCACAACAACAACACGACCACAGTGAGATCCACAACAACAACAATAACACGACTACAGCAGCAACAACTACAACCACAGTGAGATCCACAACTCAACAACAACACAACAACAACAACAACTACGACCACAGTGAGATCCACAACACAACAACAACACGACCACAGTGAGATCCACAACAACAACTACAACACGACCACAGCAGCAACAACTACAACCACAGTGAGATCCACAACACAACAACAACAACTACAACCACAGTGAGATCCACAACACAACAACAACTACAACCACAGTGAGATCCACAACACAACAACAACACAACAACTACAACCACAGTGAGATCCACAACAACAACAACAACTACAACCACAGTGAGATCCACAACACAACAACAACTACAACAACAACAACACAACCACAGTGAGATCCACAACACAACAACAACAACGAAATGGCAGCGACGTCACCGCGGCGCTTGTGCCAGGCTAGGTGCACTCCGAAGCCACATGAAGCGTCGAATGCTCACTGCTGGCAGGAGGTCACGGGACAGACCCAGGTGCTGTGGGTTGACTGATGTGCCAGGCTAGGTGCAGGAGGTCACGGGACAGACCTAGGTGCTATGGGTTGACTGATGTGCCAGGCTAGGTGCAGGAGGTCACGGGACAGACCCAGGTGCTATGGGTTGACTGATGTGCCAGGCTAGATGCAGGAGGTCACCGGACAGACCCAGGTGCTGTGGGTTGACTGATGTGCCAGGCTAGGTGCAGGAGGTCACGGGACAGACCCAGGTGATATGGATTGACTGATGTGCCAGGCTAGGTGCAAGAGGTCACGGGACAGACCCAGGTGCTATGGGTTGACTGATGTGCCAGGCTAGGTGCAGGAGGTCACCGGACAGACCCAGGTGCTGTGGGTTGACTGATGTGCCAGGCTAGGTGCAGGAGGTCACGGGACAGACCCAGGTGATATGGATTGACTGATGTGCCAGGCTAGGTGCAAGAGGTCACGGGACAGACCTAGGTGCTATGGGTTGACTGATGTGCCAGGCTAGGTGCAGGAGGTCACGGGACAGACCCAGGTGCTATGGGTTGACTGAGATGTGTGAGCCCGCCCACACATACACACACACACACAAACACACGCACGTGTGCGTGACCTCCGCGTGACCTCCGCGTGACCTCCGCGCGACCCCCGGCAGGTGAACCTGGTGTCGGAGCACATCTGGTGTGAGGACTTCCTGGTCCGCAGCTTCTACCTGAAGAACATCCGCAGCGGGGAGACGCGCACCCTCACGCAGTTCCACTTCCTGAGCTGGCCCGACCACGCCGTGCCCGCGTCCACACGCTCGCTGCTCGACTTCCGCAGGTGGGCGGGCGACAAAGCCGCCGTGGGCGGGCGACAAAGCCGCCGTGGGCGGGCGACAAAGCCGCCGTGGGCGGGCGACAAAGCCGCCGTGGGCGGGCGACAAAGCCGCCGTGGGCGGGCGACAAAGCCGCCGTGGGCGGGCGACAAAGCCGCCGTGGGCGGGCGGCCTCCACCCGCACGCCGGGCCCAGCGCGCATTGACGCTGGCATGGCGCTTGCCCCTGATGATGTTTTATACACACGGAGACATGGAGCCACACAGCACAAATACACACAGCAGAGACAAAGATCCCCCGTATAGCCTGTAACACCTATGAAGGCCAGACCCGCAAACGAGGGGATGCGTGACCAGCACTACGCCCGGACGCCTTTGTCTCCCCACACACAGCAGCAGGTACTCATTTGAGGCTGAGTCGACCTAGGGGAGGCCCAGGACCGGTTCAGATAATCGTCACTGATTTTGGCCATGAGCAGGAATCGAACTCGGGTCACCAGATTCGTAGCGCAGCGTAGCGCTAACCGCTACACCACTGCTCCCCGACACACAACACGGCACACACAGCACACACACGGCACACACACAGCACACACACACACAGCACACACACACAGCACACACAGCACACACAGCACACACACACGGCACACACACAGCACACACACACAGCACACACACACGGCACACACACAGCACACACACACGGCACACACACAGCACACATACACACACACAGCACACACACACACCACACACACAGCACACACACAGCACACACACACAGCACACACACAGCACACACACAGCACACACAGCACACACACACAGCACACACACAGCACACACACACGGCACACACACAGCACACACACAGCACACACACACAGCACACACACAGCACACACACACAGCACACATACAGCACACACACACAGCACACACAGCACACACACAGCACACACACACAGCACACACACACAGCACACACACACAGCACACACACAGCACACACACAGCACACACACACAGCACACACACACAGCACACACACAGCACACACACAGCACACACACACAGCACACACACACGGCACACACAGCACACACACAGCACACACGGCACACACACACACACGGCACACACACACACACGGCACACACACACACACGGCACAGCACACACACACGGCACACACACACACACGGCACACACACACACACAGCACACACACACACACAGCACACAGCACACACACACGGCACACGCAGCACAGCTCCAGGGTCCTCATGAGAGAGAGGAGCTCGCAAACTCCCCACTTCTGGTGGCCCTCCGAGGAGGCCCTTCCACGTCGCCACCGATCGGCGGCCGCCGCCGCCGCCGTGGGCGGGCGGCCCAGAGCCGGCGCCGTGCGTGGCTGTGGCCGATATCATTTTTGTGACCTGCAGCTTGTACCCTCGCCGCCCAGTTGCATAGTCACAAAAGTGATCATCGGAGGCAGCCGCCCTCCGCACACCTACAGCCAACGCGCACCCTGCAGGAGGAGCGAGCAGTGAGGAGGAGTGAGGAGCGAGGAGGAGTGAGGAGTGAGGAGCGAGGAGGAGTGAGGAGGAGTGAGGAGTGAGGATTGAGGAGTGAGGAGGAGTGAGAAGGAGCAAGGAGTGAGGAGGAGCAAGGACGAGTGAGGAGGAGTGAGGAGGAGTGAGGAGTAGTGAGAAGTGAGGAGCGAGGAGGGAGGGGGAGTGAGAAGGAGTGAGGAGTGAGAAGTGGTGAGGAGGAGTGAGAAGGAGCAAGGAGTGAGGAGGAGCAAGGAGGAGTGAGGAGGAGCGAGGAGCGAGAAGGAATGACAAGTGAGGAGATGCGAGGAGTAGTGATGAGGAGTGATGAGTGAGGAGTGAGAAGTGATGAGGAGTGAGGAGTGATGAGTGAGGAGGAGCGAGGAGGAATGAGAAGTGATGAGGAGTGAGAAGTGATGAGGAGTGAGGAGTGATGAGGAGTGAGAAGTGATGAGGAGTGAGGAGTGATGAGTGAGGAGCAAGGACGAGCGAGGAGGAGTGAGGAGGAGTGAGGAGGAATGAGAAGTGAGCAGGTGCGAGGAGTGATGAGGAGTGATGAGTGAGGAGGAGTGAGGAGGAGTGAGGAGTGATAAGTGAGGAGGAGTGAGAAGTGAGGAGCGAGGAGGAGTGATGCGGAGTTAGGAGTGTGGAGGATTGATGAGAAGTGAGGAGTGATGAGAAGTGATGAGGAGTGATGAGATACCGGGCACTGCTCAGTGGCTCACGACGCTCAATGCTGAGCGTCAGCTCAGGGTCACAGGTCACAGGTCACCAGTCACAGGTCACCAGTCACAGGTCACCAGTCACAGGTCACCGGTCACCAGTCACAGGTCACCAGTCACAGGTCACCAGTCACAGGTCACAGGTCACCAGTCACAGGTCACCAGTCACAGGTCACCAATCACCAGTCACAGGTCACAGGTCACCAGTCACAGGTCACCAGTCACAGGTCACCGGTCACAGGTCACCAATCACCAGTCACAGGTCACAGGTCACCAGTCACAGGTCACCAGTCACAGGTCACCAGTCACAGGTCAACAGTCACCAGTCACAGGTCACAGGTCACCAGTCACAGGTCACCAGTCACAGGTCACCAGTCACAGGTCACAGGTCACCAGTCACAGGTCACCAGTCACAGGTCACCAGTCACAGGTCACCAGTCACCGGTCACAGGTCACCAGTCACAGGTCACCAGTCACAGGTCACAGGTCACCGGTCACCAGTCACAGGTCACAGGTCACCAGTCACAGGTCACCAGTCACAGGTCACCAGTCACAGGTCACCAGTCACAGGTCACAGGTCACCAATCACAGGTCACAGGTCACAGGTCACCGGTCACAGGTCACCAGTCACAGGTCACCAGTCACAGGTCACAGATCAAAAGTCACCAGTCACAGGTCACCAGTGACAGGTCACAAGTCACCAGTCACAGGTCACAGGTCAACAGTCACAGGTCACAGGTCACAGGTCACCAGTCACAGGTCACCAGTCACAGGTCACCAGTCACAGGTCACCAGTCACAGGTCACCAATCACCAGTCACAGGTCACCAGTCACAGGTCACCAGTCACAGGTCACCAGTCACAGGTCACAGGTCACCAGTCACAGGTCACCAGTCACAGGTCACAGGTCACCAGTCACAGGTCACCAGTCACAGGTCACAGGTCACCAGTCACAGGTCACCAGTCACAGGTCACCAGTCACAGGTCACAGGTCACCAGTCACAGGTCACCAGTCACAGGTCACCAGTCACAGGTCACAGGTCACCAGTCACAGGTCACCAGTCACAGGTCACCAGTCACAGGTCACAGGTCACCAGTCACAGGTGACCAATTCCAGTGGGAGGGGCAGTCCATGAATGACGTCACGCACCTCGGGGGGGGGGGGGGTGGTCAGACATTTGTGACGATGTGTGACGAGGGGGGGAGGGAGGGGAGGGGTTGAGAAATCTGACGTCACATCAAAATGCGCAACTTTAAACAAATATAAACAACACGTTCTACTAGTTAATGAAAATATAATTGTTATAACCACTAATTTTATTAATTTTAATTATTAACTACTTGATTATTTAAATTTTCTAAGGTCACCTTTTATTTATTCCGCGAAGGAGGATTTTGCTTCTCCATGGGAGAATGGAGAAGCAAACATTTTGTACATTTTGTACATTTTTTTAAATGATTGTTATTAAACATTTCCATTTTAATTATTCTAACAGGGCTTTTTATTCTGTGGAACGAATCTGCGATTGATATAATTGTACTCTCCATTTCGCTTCGTTCTACTACTAAGTATGTTTTTTATAGTTATAATTACTTTTAATATTGTATAATTATAAGTGAATTTCAATATAACATTCTGAACGTCTGCAGTTTCAGTTAGACGTTGAATATTTTCAACATCAGAGTGCAGCGCCACATTAAATACGCACTGCAATGACAATAGTTTAAAGCGATTTGAAGCTGTTCTATCTTCAAAATGGAAATATATTTTTTTGGGGGGGGGCAGAGCTTTGTGACGTCATATTTGAGGGGGGGGGGTCTGACTTTCTGTGACGCCGTGTGACGAGGGGGGGTCAAAAATCTTCCCAAACCACGTGACGTGTTTTATGGACGACGGCCCCTGTGATTGGAGCAGCAGGCGGTGCCCCGCTCCCCACGCCTCGTGAGGGCGCGCCACGAGGCCCACCACAGCCCGGGCCGAGCCACCGCCGTTGACGCGGCTGCTGGGGGGGCGCTGGAGTTGAGGGGGGGCGCTGGAGTTGAGGGGGGGCGGTGGAGTTGAGGGGGGGCGGTGGAGTTGAGGGGGGGCGCTGGAGTTGAGGGGGGGCGGTGGAGTTGAGGGGGGAGGTGGAGTTGAGGGGGGCGGTGGAGTTGAGGGGGGAGGTGGAGTTGAGGGGGGCGGTGGAGTTGAGGGGGGGCGGTGGAGTTGAGGGGGGGCGGTGGAGTTGAGGGGGGCGCTGGAGTTGGGGACCTGCCAGCGGTGTTCAACTCCTCCGTTGCCGGGGTGGCGGCGGCGGTGGAGCAGCGCTGGCGACCCGGCTTGGGCGGCTGCAGACGCCCAAGCCGCCCGGTGGCTGCTGCTGCTGGTGGTGGTGCTGGTGGTGGTGCTGCTGGTGGTTGGTGGTGGTGGTGGTGCTGGTGGTGGTGCTGGTGGTGGTGGTGGTGCTGGTGGTGGTGGTGCTGGTGGTGGTGGTGGTGCTGGTGGTGGTGGTGCTGGTGGTGGTGGTGCTGGTGGTGCTGCTGCTGGTGGTGGTGGTGGTGCTGGTGGTGGTGGTGGTGCTGGTGGTGCTGGTGGTGGTGGTGGTGCTGGTGGTGCTGGTGGTGGTGGTGGTGCTGCTGCTGCTGCCGGTGCCAGTGGTTCCCCAGCGCCGGCACCAGCAGCGTCGAAGTTGCCGTGACAACGACGTGCGGTGTTGTTGTTGTTGCCGTGACAACGACGTGTGGTGACGTTGTTTTTGCTCTCTCTGTGTGGCGACGTCAGCCTCAATTTTACCATGGCGACCCATGACTCGGTGTCACCATGGTTACACGTGTCTCTGTGTTTCTATGGTAACCCATGACCGTGTCTCCATGGTGACCAGATGTCTCAGTAACAAGCGTCTCCCTGTGATGGCGAGTGTCTCCGTGTGTCTCCATGAGTTTCGTCGTAGCGGCTCTCCAAGTTGCTTTGGTGTCTCCAAACATGGAGACACGGTAACATGTCCCCAATGTTTCCATGGTGATCTGTCTCCGTGGTAACACACCTCCATGGCAACGTCTCTGCGATAACGTCGCCATGGTAACGACAATACGTGGTAATGTCTCCTTGGTAACGAGTATCTGTGGTAACGCGTCTCCGTGGTAACGCGTGTCCGTGGTAACGCGTCTCCGTGGTAACGCGTCCCCGTGGTTACGCGTCTCCGTGGTAACGCGTCTCCGTGGTAACGCGTCCCCGTGGTAACGCGTCTCCGTGGTAACGCGTCCCCGTGGTAACGCGTCCCTGTGGTAACGCGTCCCCGTGGTAACGTGTCTCCATGGTAACGCGTCCCCGTGGTAACGCATCTCCGTGGTAACGCGTCTCCATGGTAACACGTCTCCGTGGTAACGTGTCCCATGCAGGAAGGTGAACAAGTGTTACCGTGGCCGCTCTTGTCCCATCATCATCCACTGCAGGTGACACCCAGCACTCAGCACTCAGCACCCAGCACCCTGCACTCATCATCCCCTGCACTCAGCACCCTGCACCCAGCACCCTGCACTCATCATTCCCCTACACTCAGCACCCTGCACTCATCATTCCCCTGCACTCATCATCCCCTGCATTCATCATCACCTGCACTCAGCACCCTGCATTCAGCACCCTGCACTCAGCACCCTGCATTCATCATCACCTGCACTCAGCACCCTGCATTCAGCACCCTGCACTCAGCACCCTGCATTCATCATCACCTGCACTCAGCACCCTGCATTCAGCACCCTGCACTCAGCACCCTGCGCTCATCATTCCCCTGCACTCAGCACCCTGCACTCAATCCCCTGCACCCAGCACCCTGTACTCAGCACCCTGCACCCAGCACTCATCATCACACGCACCCAGCAGCCTGCACTCATTATCCGCAACACCCTGCACTCATCAATCCCCTGCACCCTGCACATTCCGCTCATCACCCAGCACAAGGCCCGTGTTGATTACGATCCTAATCCCCGGCCCCCACCTCTGCCCGGTAGCGACGGGGCAGGGAGGACGGGCACCTACCTGCTCATCGACATGGTGCTTAACCGCATGACCAAGGGTGAGGGCAACGCCACACCGGGACCCCACGGGGACCACACAGAGACCACATGGAGACCACACGGGGACCACACGGGGACCACACAGAGACCACATGGGGACCACACAGAGACCACACAGAGACCACACGGGGTCCACACAGAGACCACACAGAGACCACACAGAGACCACACAGAGACCACACGGGGTCCACACAGAGACCACACAGAGACCACACAGAGACCACACAGAGACCACACGGGGTCCACACAGAGACCACACAGAGACCACACAGAGACTACACAGAGACCACACAGAGACCACACAGAGACCACACAGAGACCACACAGAGACCACACAGAGACCACACAGAGACCACACAGAGACCACATGGGGACCACACGGGGACCACACAGAGACCACACAGAGACCACATAGAGACCACATGGGGACCACACAGAGACCACACAGAGACCACACGGGGACCACACAGAGACCACACAGAGACCACACAGAGACCACACGGGGACCACACAGAGACCACACAGAGGACACACAGAGATCACACAGAGACCACATGGGGACCACACAGAGACCACACAGAGACCACACAGAGACCACACAGAGACCACACGGGGTCCACACAGAGACCACACAGAGACCACACGGGGTCCACACAGAGACCACACAGAGACCACACAGAGACCACATGGGGACCACACGGGGTCCACACAGAGACCACACGGAGACCACACGGAGACCACACAGAGACCACACAGAGACCACACGGGGTCCACACAGAGACCACACGGGGACCACACGGAGACCACACAGAGACCACACGGAGACCACACAGAGACCACACGGGGACCACACAGAGACCACACAGAGACCACACAGAGACAACACAGAGACCACACGGGGACCACACAGAGACCACACAGAGACCACACAGAGACCACACGGGGACCACATGGGGACCACACAGAGACCACACAGAGACCACACAGAGACCACACGGGGTCCACACAGAGACCACACAGAGACCACACAGAGACTACACAGAGACCACACAGAGACCACACAGAGACCACACAGAGACCACACAGAGACCACACAGAGACCACACAGAGACCACACGGGGTCCACACAGAGACCACACAGAGACCACACGGGGACAACACAGAGACCACATGGGGACCACACGGGGACCACACAGAGACCACACAGAGACCACACGGGGACCACACAGAGACCACACGGGGACCACACAGAGACCACACAGAGACCACACGGGGTCCACACAGAGACCACACGGGGTCCACACAGAGACCACACAGAGACCACACGGGGACCACACAGAGACCACACGGGGACCACACGGAGACCACACAGAGACCACACAGAGACCACACAGAGACCACATGGGGACCACACAGAGACCACACAGAGACCACACAGAGACCACACGGGGACCACACAGAGACCACACGGGGACCACACAGAGACCACACAGAGACCACACAGAGACCACACGGGGACCACACAGAGACCACACAGAGACCACACAGAGACCACACAGAGACCACACAGAGACCACACAGAGACCACACGGGGTCCACACAGAGACCACACAGAGACCACACAGAGACCACACGGGGACCACACAGAGACCACACAGAGACCACACAGAGACCACACAGAGACCACACGGGGTCCACACAGAGACCACACAGAGACCACACGGGGACCACACAGAGACCACACGGGGACCACACAGAGACCACACAGAGACCACACAGAGACCACATGGGACCACACAGAGACCACACAGAGACCACACGTGGTCCACACAGAGACCACACAGAGACCACACGGGGACCACACAGAGACCACACAGAGACCACACAGAGACCACACGGGGTCCACACGGCTGGCCCCGCGGCTGGGAGCACAATGTGTGTTGGCCTCTTTCCGTGTGCCGGAGGCAGCCTGGGAGGCCCTGGGAGTGTGCCCACTCGTGGCCTCCACGGATGGCCGTGAACCCCAGATGAGAGAGGTGCACATTAGGAGATCAACATTCCGTGTTTACGAATTCTTGCACATTATGTTAACTATTTATCGTGTTTAGCGTCGAACTAGGAGCCAGATCTAACGCAGAGGGAGAGAGAGGCCTTGCCTACGAACATCCGTTAGTTAATCATAATTGGTTCAGACTGAATGTGGAAATCGGAAACACAAGCATGTTCTTGTGTTCAATAAACGTTTGTGAAAGTGTGCACTCCCAGAAGGCCGTGTGGTCGTTTGGGTGGATAAAATAATACTTTGACTTCATCCTGAAGTCCACGTCTCTTGCCTCTCAGGCACGAAGGAGATCGACATCGCAGCCACACTGGAGCACATCCGCGACCAGCGTGCAGGCATGGTGCGCACCAAGGTACCAAGAGCCCCCCCCTAGCCCCCCCACCCCTCACCCCCCCACCCCTCACCCCCCCACCCCTCGCCCCCCCCCCAATCCCTCACGCCCCCCACCCCTCACCCTTAACCCCTGCCCCCTTCCCTGTCCCCACAGGAGCAGTTTGAGTTTGCGCTCACAGCTCTGGCTGAAGAGGTGAACGCCATCCTCAAGTCGCTCCCCAAGTGACACGGGCAAGGAGATGGAGGAGGTGGAGGGGGTGGAGTGGCTCATGAGAACGATGCGGAGGTGGAGTACAGGAAGAGGAGAAGGGAACATTGAAGGAGGTGGATGTGGAGTAAGAGGTGGAAGAGGAGGAGGAAGAGGGGGGGGGGGGGTGATGAGGAGCTAGGGTGTGGGGAGGGGGCACAGATACGGGGTTGCAGGGACGGGACGGGAGGAGAGGCGCGGACGTAGAGGTGAAGTGCAGTCGTGACGACACTGCACGTGACTGGGTCTCCCTTTGTGACTGGGTCTCCCTGAGTGACTGGGTCTCCCCGTGTGTCTGGGTCTCCCTTTGTGTCTGGGTCTCCCTGAGTGTCTGGGTCTCCCCGTGTGTCTGGGTCTCCCTTTGTGACTGGGTCTCCCTGAGTGTCTGGGTCTCCCCGTGTGTCTGGGTCTCCCCGTGTGTCTGGGTCTCTCTGAGTGTCTGGGTCTCCCTGAGTGTCTGGGTCTCCCTGAGTGTCTGGGTCTCCCTGTGTGTCTGGGTCTCCCTTTGTGACTGGGTCTCCCTGAGTGACTGGGTCTCCCCGTGTGTCTGGGTCTCCCTGAGTGTCTGGGTCTCCCTGAGTGTCTGGGTCTCCCCGTGTGTCTGGGTCTCCCTGAGTGTCTGGGTCTCCCCGTGTGTCTGGGTCTCTCTGAGTGTCTGGGTCTCCCTGAGTGTCTGGGTCTTTCCGTGTGTCTGGGTCTCCCTTTGTGTCTGGGTCTCGCTGTGTGTCTGGGTCTCCCTGAGTGACTGGGTCTCCCTGAGTGTCTGGGTCTCCCTGAGTGTCTGGGTCTCCCTGAGTGTCTGGGTCTCTCTGAGTGTCTGGGTCTCCCCACGTGTCTGGGTCTCCTCGTCTGTCTGGGTCTCCCTGAGTGTCTGGGTCTCCCTGAGTGTCTGGGTCTCCCTGAGTGTCTGAGTCTCCCTGAGTGTCTGAGTCTCCCTGAGCGTCTGGGTCTCCCTGAGTGTCTGGGTCTCCCTGAGTGTCTGGGTCTCCCCGTGTGTCTGGGTCTCCCCGTGTGTCTGGGTCTCCCTGAGTGTCTGGGTCTCCCTGAGTGTCTGGGTCTCCCCGTGTGTCTGGGTCTCTCCGTGTGTCTGGGTCTCCTTGTGTGTCTGGGTCTCCCTGAGTGTCTGGGTCTCCCTGAGTGTCTGGGTCTCCGTGAGTGTCTGGGTCTCCCTGAGTGTCTGGGTCTCCCTGAGTGTCTGGGTCTCCCTGAGTGTCTGGGTCTCCGTGAGTGTCTGGGTCTCCCTGAGTGTCTGAGTCTCCCTGAGCATCTGGGTCTCCCTGAGTGTCTGGGTCTCCCTGAGTGTCTGGGTCTCCCCACTTGTCTGGGTCTCCCTGAGTGTCTGGGTCTCCCCGTGTGTCTGGGTCTCCCTGAGTGTCTGGGTCTCCCTGAGTGTCTGGGTCTCTCCGTGTGTCTGGGTCTCTCCGTGTGTCTGGGTCTCCTTGTGTGTCTGGGTCTCCCTGAGTGTCTGGGTCTCCCGGAGTGTCTGGGTCTCTCCGTGTGTCTGGGTCTCCCTGAGTGTCTGGGTCTCCCTGAGTGTCTGGGTCTCCCTGAGTGTCTGGGTCTCCCTGAGTGTCTGGGTCTCCCTGAGTGTCTGGGTCTCCCTGAGTGTCTGGGTCTCCCCGTGTGTCTGGGTCTCCCCGTGTGTCTGGGTCTCCCTGAGTGTCTGGGTCTCCCCGTGTGTCTGGGGTCTCTCCGTGTGTCTGGGTCTCTCCATGTGTCTGGGTCTCTCCGTGTGTCTGGGTCTCCCTGAGTGTCTGGGTCTCCCTGAGTGTCTGGGTCTCTCCGTGTGTCTGGGTCTCTCCGTGTGTCTGGGTCTCCCTGTGTGTCTGGGTCTCCCTGAGTGTCTGGGTCTCCCGGAGTGTCTGGGTCTCTCCGTGTGTCTGGGTCTCCCTTAGTGTCTGGGTCTCCCTGAGTGTCTGGGTCTCCTGAGTGTCTGGGTCTCCCTGAGTGTCTGGGTCTCCCGTGTGTCTGGGTCTCTCCGTGTGTCTGGGTCTCCCTGTGTGTCTGGGTCTCCCTGAGTGTCTGGGTCTCCCTGAGTGTCTGGGTCTCTCCGTGTGTCTGGGTCTCCCTGTGTGTCTGGGTCTCCCTGAGTGTCTGGGTCTCCCGGAGTGTCTGGGTCTCTCCGTGTGTCTGGGTCTCCCTTAGTGTCTGGGTCTCCCTGAGTGTCTGGGTCTCCTGAGTGTCTGGGTCTCCTGAGTGTCTGGGTCTCCCGTGTGTCTGGGTCTCTCCGTGTGTCTGGGTCTCCCTGTGTGTCTGGGTCTCCCTGAGTGTCTGGGTCTCCCTGAGTGTCCTGGGTCTCTCCGTGTGTCTGGGTCTCCCTGTGTGTCTGGGTCTCCCTGTGTGTCTGGGTCTCCCTGTGTGTCTGGGTCTCCCTGAGTGTCTGGGTCTCCCTGAGTGTATGGGTCTCCCTGAGTGTCTGGGTCTCCCTGAGTGTCTGGGTCTCCCTGTGTGTCTGGGTCTCCCTGAGTGTCTGGGTCTCCCTGAGTGTCTGGGTCTCCCTGTGTGTCTGGGTCTCCCTGAGTGTCTGGGTCTCCCTGAGTGTCTGGGTCTCTCCGTGTGTCTGGGTCTCTCCGTGTGTCTGGGTCTCCCTGTGTGTCTGGGTCTCCCTGAGTGTCTGGGTCTCCCTGAGTGTCTGGGTCTCTCCGTGTGTCTGGGTCTCCCTATGTGTCTGGGTCTCCCTGAGTGTCTGGGTCTCTCCGTGTGTCTGGGTCTCTCCGTGTGTCTGGGTCTCCCTGTGTGTCTGGGTCTCCCTGAGTGTCTGGGTCTCCCTGAGTGTCTGGGTCTCTCCATGTGTCTGGGTCTCCCTGTGTGTCTGGGTCTCCCTGTGTGTCTGGGTCTCCCTGAGTGTCTGGGTCTCCCGTGTGTCTGGGTCTCTCCGTGTGTCTGGGTCTCCCCGTGTGTCTGGGTCTCCCTGTGTGTCTGGGTCTCCCTGAGTGTCTGGGTCTCCCTGAGTGTCTGGGTCTCCCTGTGTGTCTGGGTCTCCCTGAGTGTCTGGGTCTCCCTGTGTGTCTGGGTCTCCCTGAGTGTCTGGGTCTCCCTGAGTGTCTGGGTCTCCCTGAGTGTCTGGGTCTCCCTGAGTGTCTGGGTCTCCCCGTGTGTCTGGGTCTCTCCGTGTGTCTGGGTCTCTCCGTGTGTCTGGGTCTCCCTGTGTGTCTGGGTCTCCCTGAGTGTCTGGGTCTCCCTGAGTGTCTGAGTCTCTCCGTGTGTCTGGGTCTCCCTATGTGTCTGGGTCTCCCTGAGTGTCTGGGTCTCTCCGTGTGTCTGGGTCTCCCCGTGTGTCTGGGTCTCCCTGTGTGTCTGGGTCTCCCTGTGTGTCTGGGTCTCCCTGAGTGTCTGGGTCTCCCTGAGTGTCTGGGTCTCTCCGTGTGTCTGGGTCTCCCTTAGTGTCTGGGTCTCCCTGAGTGTCTGGGTCTCCCTGTGTGTCTGGGTCTCCCTGAGTGTCTGGGTCTCCCGTGTGTCTGGGTCTCTCCGTGTGTCTGGGTCTCCCTGTGTGTCTGGGTCTCCCTGTGTGTCTGGGTCTCCCTGAGTGTCTGGGTCTCCCTGAGTGTCTGGGTCTCCCTGTGTGTCTGGGTCTCCCTGAGTGTCTGGGTCTCCCTGTGTGTCTGGGTCTCCCTGAGTGTCTGGGTCTCCCTGAGTGTCTGGGTCTCCCTGTGTGTCTGGGTCTCCCTGAGTGTCTGGGTCTCCCTGAGTGTCTGGGTCTCCCCGTGTGTCTGGGTCTCCCCGTGTGTCTGGGTCTCCCTGAGTGTCTGGGTCTCCCTGAGTGTCTGGGTCTCCCTGTGTGTCTGGGTCTCTCCGTGTGTCTGGGTCTCCCTATGTGTCTGGGTCTCCCTGAGTGTCTGGGTCTCTCCGTGTGTCTGGGTCTCTCCGTGTGTCTGGGTCTCCCTGAGTGTCTGGGTCTCCCTGTGTGTCTGGGTCTCCCTGAGTGTCTGGGTCTCCCTGAGTGTCTGGGTCTCTCCGTGTGTCTGGGTCTCCCTTAGTGTCTGGGTCTCCCTGAGTGTCTGGGTCTCCCTGAGTGTCTGGGTCTCCCTGAGTGTCTGCGTCTCCCTGAGTGTCTGGGTCTCCTCGTCTGTCTGGGTCTCCCTGAGTGACTGAGTCTCTCTGAGTGACTGAGTCTCCCTGAGTGACTGAGTCTCCCTGAGTGACTGAGTCTCCCTGAGAGTCTGGGTCTCCCTGAGCGTCTGGGTCTCCCTGAGTGTCTGGGTCTCCCTGAGTGTCTGGGTCTCCCTGAGTGTCTGAGTCTCCCTGAGTGTCTGGGTCTCCCCGAGTGACTGAGTCTCCCTGAGTGACTGAGTCTCCCTCAGTGACTGAGTCTCCCTGAGTGACTGAGTCTCCCTGAGTGACTGAGTCTCTCCGAGTGACTGAGTCTCCCTGAGTGTCTGAGTCTCTCTGAGTGACTGAGTCTCCCTCAGTGGACTGAGTCTCCCTGAGTGACTGAGTCTCCCTCAGTGACTAAGTCTCTCTGAGTGACTGAGTCTCCCTGAGTGACTGAGTCTCCCTGAGTGACTGAGTCTCTCTGAGTGACTGAGTCTCCCTGAGTGACTGAGTCTCTCTGAGTGACTGAGTCTCTCTGAGTGACTGAGTCTCTCTCAGTGACTGAGTCTCCCTGAGTGACTGAGTCTCCCTGAGTGACTGAGTCTCCCTGAGTGACTGAGTCTCCCTGAGTGTCTGAGTCTCCCTAAGTGACTGAGTCTCTCTGAGTGACTGAGTCCTCTCTGAGTGACTGAGTCTCCCTGAGTGACTGAGTCTCCCTGAGTGACTGAGTCTCTCCGAGTGACTGAGTCTCCCTGAGTGACTGAGTCTCTCTCAGTGACTGAGTCTCTCTCAGTGACTGGGTCTCCCTGAGGTGACTGAGTCTCTCTGAGTGACTGAGTCTCCCTGAGTGACTGAGTCTCTCTGAGTGTCTGAGTCTCTCCGAGTGACTGAGTCTCTCTGAGTGACTGAGTCTCCCTGAGTGACTGAGTCTCTCTCAGTGACTGAGTCTCTCTCAGTGACTGAGTCCCTCTGAGTGACCTGAGACTCCCTGAGTGACTGAGTCTCTCTGAGTGACTGAGTCTCTCTCAGTGACTGAGTCTCTCTCAGTGACTGAGTCCCTCTCAGTGACTGAG